GCTCTCTTGCAGTGTTACTGGCGGCGACACGGAGGGCAGAGCTGGAGGCAGGTAAGGCCGTGTGCGTACGGGATGTGGGGTAGGTCACATGGGCAGAGCCACCCCTGGCGGGTAACGTCCCCCGTGGGTGACAAGGCGGAGGACACGTTTGGCTCAGCAGAGAGCCGGGATATTTAACGATAAACGTGTTTGTGGCAGCTAGCAGCTGACTAAAGGCTGCCGCAGTTCCACCGTACCTCCGCCGGGCCACGCCGTCCCATCCGTGGCCTTTCCTCCGCTCCGCCACGCTCAGGAGACCGTCTGGTCCCCCCACCGATGGAGTCCCCGCTCTTCACGCCAGCGACCCTGTGGGAAAACGTGTTATGCTACCGCTAATTATCCTCGGCGAGGATGTTTTATCGCTATGAGAAATTGTGCTTGTTTATTTCCGGCGTTTAATTTTCATATTGTGAAAGACAGGAGCCTCCCATCACGGAGCTCCCCCGCATTTCTGCGGAACGTTCTAGCCTTTTAATCCTGATGAAACTGTGGTCTCCCAAGGGGCGTGTGCTGCAGTAGTGGGTGGGGCCAGGGCTTGGCCACCACGGTTACAGCCCAGCGGAACGGTTCCGAATGCAGCAGCGGCAGCTCGTCAGAAGACTGCTGTGAGTATCCAGAACCTCAGCTTTGATTATCCATCCAACTTCCCATCACTTATCCTGGTCGGGGTCTCAGGGGGCCCCCGCAGGGCTGAGTTGTCCTTCCTCCCCCATCTTATAGGGAGGCAAAAGGAGGGGGGAAGGTGGGGGAGGCAGGAAGAAGCAAGGGGAGAGCGTAGGGTGGGGGGGGGTCAAAAAGAGGCAAGGAGAAAGGCCACCGTTCTAGGGCACTCGGGCTGGGCTGGGTGGGGGTATACGCTCTGATGCGGGGGGCGTCTTAACCTTCAAACGCTGGTGACGTCCCCCCCCCAAGTCCCTTAATATGAGTGGGTATGCAATACAAGTTAATTTAAATTTGTTTTTAATTTGCCTGATGTCGTCAGGAGGAAGTTGCCGGGGATGAGAGGGGTCGCAGTTATCGGGGAAGCACGACCCCCCCCTCCGCCTTTTTTAGGTGGTGAAAGGGGGTGTCTGTCACCCCACCAGCCTGTGGGAGGGCGCACGCGACACCCTACATCACATCTCATCACTCTCCTGATATCCGGTATTAACAGCAGGGCACCAGACGCCTGCAGCCAATCAGGCTGATCAATCCCGACCCACGCTGCCGTTTAGGCAGGATGACGGCATCGATCCTCCGGGTCTGTCCGGTGATCAATCACTTGGACAGAAAGAGCTTTGCGGTTCCAAATAAATCACTCCCCCGGGGGCCATGCTGACTAGAATGAAGTACAGAGGAGAGGGGGCTGGCGCGGCCATACGGAGTGGGGGGAGTGGCCGCTGGGAGGGGGGGGAGCCTGGTTCTGTCTGGGTCACCAGTAGTGACTGGTGAGGGACGTCGCCGGAGGTGTCTGAGGAAGCTTTTGGCCGTCCAGGGTTTGGCCGGTACTCCGGGCTGCTGGGGGCTTTATCGCCGTCCCATAAGGGATTTAGTTTCTGTCCTGGACAAAAACAGCCCGAGACGTCATTGTGCTACCTGGCCGCCGCTGGTGAGGGACGAGATGGACCCCGTGGTGCCCTGCCCCTGGCATCAGGTATCAGCACCGCCAAGGGCCGGTCCCACCGAGCCTCCGGATCCGTGTTGCAGCTGGTCCCGCTTCCGTGTGTCAGAGGCAGTTCTGGGAACATACCGATCTCCGGATCGGATTCGGGCCGAGGAGAATGCCACTGCCCTCCAGGGGGCACTCAGCGGGGTGGAAAAAGCACCCCGTCCCCCTGCCCACAGCGGTGCTGCTTACTGCGCTTTCTGCCCTTGCGAAATCAATGCTGCTACGTGCCGTCCTCAGCCACACTTTGCGGGGAGGCGGTTTCCAGTTAGCTTGATGGTTGGAAGCTTTCGCTACGGTGGCCGACTGCCTCATAGTGCGGTTCTTTGTCCAGCTCGATAAGCACGAGCAATTTAGTGATGCTGCGTCTGTGTCCCCCCTCTCCGCGTCTGTGTCCCCTCACTGCGTCTGTGTCCCCTCGTTGTGTCTGTGTCTCATTGCTGTGTGTGTCCCCCCTCACCATGTCTGTGTCCCCCCTCGCTGTGTCTGTGTCCCCCCTCGCTGTGTCTGTGTCCCCCCTCACTGCGTCTGTGTCCCCTCGTTGTGTCTGTGTCTCATTGCTGTATGTGTCCCCTCCTCACCTCATCTGTGTCCCCCCTCGGCGCGTTTGTGTCCCCCTTCACTGTGTCTGTGTCCCCATTGCTGCATTTGTGTTCCCCCGCCATGTCTGGGTCCCATCGCTCGATCTGTGTCTCATTGCTGTGTGTGTCCCCCCTCACCGTGTCTGTGTCCCCCCTCGCTGTGTCTGTGTCCCCCCCTTACTGAGTCCTGCAGATGTCCTCTTCTTCTCTTATCTTGACATTTTATGAGTCCAAAATAACTTAAAATGTCTGCAGGTGTATAAAGTCACAAATAGCTGTTGTAACCTTGAGGAAAGGGAATTCATATCCCAAGAAGCACTCAAGTGATTGCTTTGCACTCTAGCGGGGATGTGGCTGCTGTGTCCGTAAGTAAGGCGTAACACGTTGAGGCTGACAGCCGGTAGCGAGGGCAGTATGCTGGGTGTCGTGTGGCTTTAGTAAGGGGTCCTGGCAGAGCTGAAGGCTCCATGCATCAGGGCAGCTGTGCCAAACCACTTAGCATCACTCTCCTACCTGGGGTGTCTGTGTCCTCGTGGTGCCGGTCACATAGGTCAGCCTCTTCCTAATGAGGACAGGGCCCCCGCCCCCTCCCTGCGGCCCCAGCAGAATATATAAATAAGGCTTTTTTGGCAGTGTACTGGCGCGACTCCCATTTGCATTTTTCCAATTATTTCCCTGTCTGGAGGCGGCTGCCGTTCATCTTTAAGATACCCTTCAACACAGTGCCCCCCCTCCACGGGGCCCTGCCTGCTCCAGCCACAACTTTTAATGCTGGAAAAGGGAGCAGGCAATATTGTGGGCAGGCCTGCGGGGTCCTGCCTCCTCTAGCCACAACCTTTATTGCTGGAAAAGGCCACGGGCAGTATTGCAGGCAGGTGTGCGGGGTCCTGCCTCCTCTAACCACAACTTTTAAAGCTGGAAAAGGGAGCAGGCAATATTGCGGGCAGGCCTGCGGGGTCCTGCCTCCTCTAGCCACAACTTTTAATGCTGGAAAAGGGCATGGGCAATATTGCGGGCAGGGCTGCGGGGTCCTGCCTCCTCTAGCCACAACTTCTATTGCTAGAAAAAGGAGCGGGTAGTATTGCGGGCAGGCCTGCGGGGTCATGTCTGCTCCAACCATGGCTTTTAATGCTGGAAAAGGGAGCGGGCAGTATCAGGGGCAGCTCTGTGGGGTCCTGGCACAGCTCGCTCCTCATGCCCTGAGCCAGTGCTCTGCAGCTGTGTGCAGCTCCCCAGGTTATGCATGTGCAGTTTTGGGGTAAATTGCTGGTTCCCTTCTGTCCCAACTGGGTCTCAGGAGCCCAAATGGCAGTTTTCTGGGTCCTTGAACCCATCACCCTCTAAGCCGTCACTTTTAGCCCAGTAGCAAGAGGTCTACTGTGCGTTTTCATATCTCACAGTAATTCATGGTAACACTTCTGCTGGTCTGCCTATAAGCTGTATAAAAGCCATAGCAGCGGTGGCTGACGTGTTACATTTTCTGTGCTTTTTCACTCCTGATTCTTTGTTTTCAGTGGAAGCACCTTTGCAGTCAGCCAGACTTGAACCTCTTACACTCCACCGCGGATTCCGAAACTCATCCAAAGCGGGAAAAGTAAAAATAGCCACGAGATAATTAGAGGCGGAATTGTGTCAGGATAATCGGAATAGGAAAAGTGCCTGTAGGGCCATCTTTCGGTCTAGCTGATAGATTTCCTGTCCCTGCCAATGTGAGTCAGGCCTGTTTCAGGTGAGCCGTTAGCTCTTGGTCAGCTTGTACGTGCTGGCCGTTTCTGAGAAGGCTGTGTGGCATGTACATTAGAGCTGTGAAAATTCCTGGGGGTGTGTACAAACTCTCCTGATGATTCCCATGAGCCACCTCAGACCCCTCCCTCCCGAGTCTGCCTACAGTTTGATGCCAAGACCACAAAATACTCTGCAGCCACTCCAGGCCTCCAACTTACGCAGTCCATAGAGGTTCTGCTCCAGTCAGTGCTGTGGGGGTTTAGTCATGGTGCATCTGTACAGCTTCTCTGATGTTACGACCTCAGCACTGTACCTGTAGCTCCTGTTTCTATCTGATACTTGTTCCTGTAGCTCATGTTCCTCACTGTTACCTGTTCCTGTAGCTCCGGTTCCTCTCCGTTACCTGTTCCTATAGCTCCTGTTCCTGTATCTCACTGTTTGCCTGTTCCTGGATTGCAGTTACCTGTTCCCGTAGCTCCTGTTCCGGTATCACAGTAACCTGTTCCTGTAGCTCCTATTTCTCTCTGTTCCCTGTTCCTGAAGCTCCTGTTCCTATATCCCTCTGTTACCTGTTCCCGTAGCTCCTGTTCCTGTATCACATTGTTACCTGTTGCTGTAGCTCCTGCTCCTAAATCTGTTACCTGTTTCTGTAGTTCCTGTTACTGTATCTCACTGTAATCTGGCCCTGTATCCCACTGATACCTCTTCCTGAAGCTCCTGTTTCCATATCTCTCTGTTATCTGTTTCTGGATTGTCAATGGAAGCTCAGCCCAGCAGCTCTTGGCCACCTGACAGCAGCATGATTGTGATTGGAAGTGCTATCACTCATACTTACTCACACGTTGCTTTAGACAAAAGCGTCTGCTACATAAATGTAAATGTTATGTTGGCAGAGTGATGAAGGCACTGCAGACTGGAAGTACAGTCAGGCCCCCCAAGGGTGTGGAAATGCCCCAGGCCCCTCCCCCTGCCAAGCGCGTTAACCTGCTGCCCTGTGTTTCTCTTTGCAGGATAAAGAGTGAGAGACTGTGCTACAGAGAGAGCTTCAGCATGAACACAGGTACGCATCTCTGTGGCAACAGGTCCCCCGCTCGCATCAACTTGTGTCCCACGTGCGGCCAAAGTGCATCGATGGAGGGGTAGCACCCGGGGAGGGGCGGGGAACCTTCTTCAAAGAACAGGGCTCAGGTCACCATCATGTACACCCCTCCACACACACCATGGCACGCTGCCTCCTGCACGCGGCAGCCCCCTCCCCTCGCCCTCACCCCTCTGCTCACGGGTGACCCTCGCACCTGCCTGTGTGCTTCCTGGCATTGGCTGGGGTCACTAGTGCCCAGCTGGCTCTCCCCGACCCCAACAGAGCCCCCTGAGGGATAGCATGCTGACTGAGGCCTTGCATGCACCTCCCAATGCCCCCTCTCTTGTACATGAAGTTCTCCTAGGGATGGACAAACAGATTTGTTTTGAAGATACCATCTGTTTCACCTTGAGAGAAAGCCGTGCATGTTCACTGGTGCTCCAGACAACCTCAGACATCAGCTCCAGCTGGCCTCCTGAATACTAGGTCCAGATTTTTAACACTAACCAGTTTTGAGCACCAGCACATGCACTGGTAACATGCTTGTGTGTGTGTGCGTGTGTGTGTGTGTTTGTGGATTAGGTTTATATTAATTTGTGGGGACCAAAATGCCAAAAGTCTCATATTTTGTTTGGTTACATATGGTTAAGGTTAGGGCTGGGTAGGGGTTAAGGTCGTCATGTTGTGATTAGAGTTTTCCCCATAGGGAATGAATGGAGAGTCCCCACAAAGATATAATTACAAACCTGTGTGTCTGTGTGTGTGGTGGGTGGTTGGATTACAGAAACAGCATTGAGTTGTGTGTGTCACTCACCAGGGACCTGGGGGAGTGTGTATTTCAAAACAGGTATGTACTTACGTCTGCATGTTTGTGCTTGTGTGTGATTGTGTTGGCGTGTTTCCGGGGGCAGCTGTGTGCGAGAGTGCGTTTAGTGACTCAGCTGGAACTGTGTGTTCGGTGTGTTGTGTGTTCAGTCACCCCACTGTAACTGTGCATGTGCTTCTACCTCCTGGCCACTGGGGGCGTGCTTCTGCATGACGCTGCCATCCAGATAGTGGAGGACGAGCGCGAAAGAGCACCGCCGTGTGCCTCACGCTCGCGCCCGTGAAGAGGGTCCAGAGCTCCCCGAATCTGCACGCAGGTACTCACCCCGCTGCCCCGCCCACGTCCTGCTGATGTACGCTGCCCTGGCTCCACCCCTAGGGACTGCTTGCTATATGGCTGCCGGCCGCTTCCCCCTGTCTGTTCCAGCTGGCCCCCCCTCTAACCAGCCCCACTCTGACCATCTAACCACCACCATGGCCTCCTGCCTGCTGTCAGACGCCCCTAACCTCCACCTCGACTGAGGCCCCCTTCTTCTACACTCCTCCTGCTCCTTCTCCTGGCTGCACTCTGGTGTTTATCTTTCCACATCCCTCCTCAGTGCAGGGGGGCGACCCAGACCTCACTGGACCTCAGCCGGAGCCTGTCCCGCATGCAGCCATGGCCACCGCTGGCTCTCTCAAGGCCGTTTTTTGGGGTCTTAGCCTCCGCTTGCAGCCTACAGATGCAGTTTCACCTGAGCTTTCTGGATACCGGAGGTGGACGCTGGTATCTCTCCTCGCAGCTCGGCCGCCCCGTGGCTCTATTACCCCGCAAGGCTTTAAAGCTTTTGCGTGCTTTAATAGAAGTCCAGGGCTTTGCTGTTGATGAAAGACCTGCATCTGTTGCTGTGGAGAGACATTAGCCTGAAGTGCGTCGTCCCTCTTAGTATGGAAACAGCACCTCATCACATCTCTCCCATGTGAAAACAGAGGAACCTCGTCCGATTCCCCTCCCCCCTGCATGCACCGACCCCACGTCCTGCTTCATGGACATGTTCTCCTCCAGATGCTCGCAAGCACGGCTACCAAACTGCTCGCTGACCTTATAGGTTCCCTTAAACATGCTGCTCCATGGCTGCGTGGGTCCCCGCCCCCCCTCCCAGTAAAGCCGGCTAATCTGACCCCCAGGCCCTCCTCTCTTTGGCTGCCTCCCTCTTCCTTCTTCCTCTGTTTTCTCATCTACCCCCCATCCCTAGATCTCCCTTTCCATACCACATTCACCATCCCCACCATGACGATGAAGGTTACTCTCACACCTCTGTTCTCAGGTCTGCTGTAGAGCCTGCAGACCTTGCCGCCCCCCCGCCGGCTGCTGATGACTTTCCCCCGGTGTTTATCTGACGTTCGTTGTCAATTTTTTTTTCCAGGTAGTGAATCTCAGTCGTCAGAATCAGGTAACGGCACCGCGTATCTCTTAAATAGGGTGCATGGCCCAGCATGGCGGGGGTGTGGTTTCAGGACACCTGCTGCAGCAGAGGATCATGGGAAGGCTGGAGGGTTCCTCTGCCAGCGCTGTGGGCGGGGTCACCTCCCTCATTCTCCTGTCGCATCCCCTCACTCCCCCAGATGCCTGGAGGTCACGTAGCGTCACCGACGGACTGGGGAATGGGGACGCCGGCGCACCAGGGTCCTCGCTGGCGGCCAAGGGCTTCCGGAGCGTGCGGCCCAACCTGCAGGAGAAGAAGTCGCCGCCCACCCCGGTAACGTCAGATATTCACACACCTGCTCGTTCCTGAGTAGCAGCCTTGCGACTGAGAGCAGCCATCTGAGAGCAGCCATCATGTGATCAGTCGCCCCTGGTGGATCCTAACGTGTTTCCATCTTACTGTCTTCCTCCATTCTGCACCATATTTTTCCATTTTTGGGGTAAACCTGGAGCAGTTAAATTAAGAGCTCTTGTACACAGTAGGCAGCTGGGGTGCGGCCCCCACCTCCCCCGGCCCCCATAGAGCAGAATCCATCACTGTCACACTGCAGCTGAAAAGTCCGAGCAAAAACAGGCTACCGGTCTCCCCTTCCAAGCCCAGAAATGGGCCAAAGCAAACCCAGTGCTTATTTCCCAGCAGGATAATCTGGAGGCTAATCAAAAACTGGCTGGTCTCTGTCGCGGACAGGAATGTGTGTCTCTTTGTCTCTTTGTGTGTTTATTTTAATTCAGTGGAATGATTGGAACCGTTTGGCTTCAGAATAAATGTTGATGTGAGCGTCAGTGTCTGGAATGCATTGTGGAATCGCGGAGTGGCACAGTCCGGGGATAAAGACCTCTAAATATTTCCTTTTCAGGCTTTCTGGGATTAAGCCGAAGCCCGCGACGTTCCGACTCTCACCTGAAAGCTCATTCGTGTTAAAATATCCGTGTTTTGTTTTGCATTAAAGGAAAACGCCTGTAAGGTGCGGCCTGTAATGTTATCGTGAATGTTGTCGTGTCTACCCCCACCCCCACTGGCTTTTCGCCGGGTGAAAAGGTCCCACTGCCACCCCCCAGGAGGGAGAGCTACCACTCGGCCCCGGCAGGCCCTAACCCCCCCTCTTACAGCCACCTCCACTCCCTGATGGAGGTGGGGGTCGCCTCCTTTGCCCTGAGTGACAGGGTGCTCGTTCAGACAGATGCACTCCTCCGAGGCACCGGCCCACCCCAAGCTGACGGCATCCAGGTTAGGGAATGTGGAGTGCCAGCCTTCCCCCAGCCCCCACTAAACTGCTGAGGGTCACAGGCACTGCCCAGCCCCCCCTCCCTCTAGAAACTTCCAAGTTTCCCAACGTGTATTTATTCATTTATATGTACCAATGAGCACTCCCCTGGTGGATCACATGGTAAATGCCACTGCCCCAGAATAATGCCCCCCCCCCACTGCAGTATGGATTTGCCCCCATCCTCTTTTCCCCAGTATAATCCCATGAATTGGCTATGGTGAAATGGATTGTGTATGTAACCATAAGTTAGGAAACTTGTACCTCCAAGCCAAAGCAGACCCCCGCCCCTCCCCATTCGCTGAAGGCCCACCCCTCAGCATCACTTCCTGTTCGGCATCCTCCGTGTCACTCATTCTCTATCTCTCTCTCTAACTCCCAGCCCAGGGCCCCGCCTGCCATGTGCTCCCCCGCCCCCCCCCAACCCCTGGCCCCCTCCCCGTTTGAGCGTGCCACCTCGCCGCTCACGGCGTCGGCCCTCAGTCACTACTCGTCCTCGTCTGGGGGCGGGTTGGAAGAGCTGCAGGTCGACTCCCCCCCCGGCACGGCCACACCCTCCCCAACACTGTGTCAGATGTCCGCTGTCGCTGAAGGCGTCGCCCTAACTTCCACCGCTGCCTTCGCCACCAATGTAACTATCCCCAAACCCGCCCCCCAGAAAACCCCCGTCCTCAGACACTAACTGCCAGCAGCTCCGTCTTGGTCCATCCTGCCAACAGCCAACACTAATGTCCCACCCCGGGTCTTGCTTGTGTAACGTATGGACCTCACACATATCTGACACTAATACCTCTGCCTCACAGAGGCTCTAGAACAACTTTAGAACTTGTATACTGTGTTTAGGATGTTAGAATGCATACTCTAGAACAGTGTTTCCCTCCCAGCTCCCAGCCAATCAGGAACACCGAATACCTGGTACAGGTGCGCTGGGAGCTGAGAGGAAGCAAAAACGTGGACTGTCCTGGATTCCCCGAGGACTGGGTTGGGAAACACTGTTGTAGAATGTGTACTTTAGAATTGAGGATGTGTACTTTAGAATTTAGGATGTGTACTTTAGAATTTAGGATGTGTGTTAGAGAGAATTTAGGGTGCATGTATTAGGATTTAGGATGTGTTAATAATACTCCTGGCCAGTAAAAACTGTAATAATTTGTATAATTATGTAACATATCAAAAATTAGAATGAGTGATTTTTAGGGAATGCAGTGTTTGCAGTGCGATAATCCTTTTCTGCACTCAGTCTTGCTGTACAGGTCACGCTGAGTTTGATAAGACTCCTGTGCCCATTCGGCCCTGAAGAGTTTACCCTGTGTTAGAGTGTTACATGAATGCCACGTTTTGGTGGGGTTACTGCAAACCTAACATGCCCCCCCCCCCACAGCCTGTGTGTGGTTCTGCCCCCCTCACTAACGAATCTGACTGCCAGGACACCTTCCTCCACGCTGTGAGTCATTATTCAAACCGGCATATCCCATGTTCCTGCACCCCCCCCCCCCCCCCAGGGCGGCATGATGGCAGTGAACGGGAGCACCTGCCATGCCCAGGGTTCCTTCTCCTCTCCCCCAGCGTACCCCCCACCCCCGGTGTCAGTGAGCCCCTCCTACGGACCCCTTCCAACAGGCCGGAACACAGGTTAGTGAGACCATCCCATAATTACCCATCTGTTCATTTCTGTTTAGTTAATCAGCCTTGGCATCCAGCTTTTACTGGAAGATGGCTTCCCTGTCTTAGCACGTGGTGTATTACAGCAAAAGCACAGAGCACCATGTGACCGTGTGACTGCCCCCCTTAACCCATTTACCTCCTTACACCCCCCCTCCCCCCCCCAGAATCCCCCTTCCTCAGGGAGTCCCACACCTCTCGCATCACCGTGCCCATTGCCCGCTTTGAGGAGGAGGAGCGGAGGGTGTCCGTCATTAAGGCTCCTCACTACGAGGGCATCGGACCTGTGGACGAGTCTGGCATCCCCATCGCCATCAGGACGGTGAGGGCGGAGCCTGCAGAGGGCTGCCGTAGGCTGGCACATCAGTCTGACTCTGCTCGACAGCTGTGATTGGCCTATGGGACTGCCATTGGCAGTAACATCAGCTCTGATTAGGCAATAGAACTGCGCATGGCAGGAAAATCAGCTGTGATTGGATAGCTGGATTCATAAAGGCTGGTTGACAGCACAAAGGAGCATAAACTGCCATGTGACCCCTCATTGTATCATGCTCATTATATCCCTCTTCATCAGGTGCACATTTACATTTATTGTAATGTTTATATTATAGTCTATATGAACCTGCTAGGGGGAGGGGGGTGGGGGGGCACTCGAAATCCATATTCCCAAGCGCCTGCTTCATTCAGCCCTGGGGGGCCTGGAGCTGCTGAGGTCAGCCAGTCAGCAGGCGGCCGTGGACCAGCCTGCGATGTATTGATTGTTCCGACAGTCGCACTCTCGCTCGCCTGCTCTCTCTCTCTCTCTTTCACCTTCCAGTGTGTTCCTCTTCACAAAGCGTCCCTCCTGCCCGCCTCCTCCTCTCTCTCTCTCTCTCTCTCTGTCTCTCTCTCTCTATCCTGAGAGCTGAGTGCCGGCTGACCGCCTGGCCAGGTACAGCTCGCAATGCCCGTCTGCCGACATTAACCGCCTTCTCTGCCCCAGACCGTGGACCGGCCCAAGGATTGGTACAAGACCATGTTCAAACAGATCCACATGGTCCACAAAGCAGGTGAGGCCTCGGCTCTGTGCAGCTGCCACCGTGCTCAGTCCTTTGGGGTGTTCAAATGCCGTCGGCATGACCATTAGGGCAGGCCGGTACCTCCTGAAGCTCCTTTATTGCTGTTTTTGTCTTGGTTTCTGCCTCAAAGCCGCTTCGTGGCCAGAATCTTTCTCTAAGGGGAGTCGGCAGCAGCCGTGTTTAGGGGGGGATTCATTAACTGTACTGTCTGGTCGCCCTTTATTCCCCTCTTGTGCATCGCTAGGCTGGTTCTTGGTTAGCAGCCTTTACCGGGCAGTTAGCATCCGCTCAGTCAGCAGGGGTTGGGGCTCCCCCCTTTGTGCCCCCCCCCCCGCCCTGCTCCTCCCGTCTTCCTCTTTGTTAAACCCGCATCGTGGCTCAAATGGCCGCTTACAGCCCGGAGGGCCTCGGCGCCGCGGAGCCGGTCTTCACGCATGGCTCCTCGCAGGAGTCCCCATCTGCTCCTTAAAGCTGCTGCGACTCCTCTGAGCCAAGGCTGGTTAGGGAGGATCTGTGCGGTGAGGCGAGGCGAGGCGAGGCGGGCCGTGGGCATGCCGGGGAGGGCCCGGGGTGGGGAGCTGTGGGGCGGGGGGGGGTAATCCATAATGTTGTTTTGTGAAATACAGGATGTGGCTGTCAGCGTTTGCAGCCCTTCCTGCGCATTGATGCTGACACAGATGCTGACTCGCGCTTGCACATGCAGGGCGGGCTGGCCACTTGCACACACTCATGGCACATGCAGGGCTGGCTGGCCACTTGCACACACTCATGGCACATGCAGGGCTGGCTGGCCACTTGAATGCTCATGTGCTTTAGTGTTGCGCGCACTCTCCGCACTCGGCTCCACTCTGACCTTATTGGCCCCTTTTATGTGGGGTGGGGCTCACTCTTATCCAGCGGAATTATCTCTCATTGGTTCCCCCCAGCCTAGTTTAGTGCTGACCTTAGATACCAGGATCACACCCTGAGCCCACCCCTCAGTGCTGTTTGGGGCGATGGTCAGTGCCAACCTGTTCACTGTGGGTTTCACCAGAGTTAGTGTGCAGTGTCTGCTGTAGGCCTCGGGGGGGGGGGGGGGCGCTCAGCGCTGAGGGGTGACCCGACAGCGCTGTCTCTGGAGGACAGGACGTGTGGCCAGTGGCCTAAGGGAGACCCCCCCCGACGCCTTAATTTGACGCATTTGTTTCTTCACGTTGCAGATGACGATTACGTAGATGCATACAGTGCCACCTACGGAGCGATGAGCACGGGTAAGACAGGTTGGACGCCCGTATCCTGATTGGCTATGACACTTTTACCAGGAACACTGGGGGTTATAAAACACAGCACAGCGTGTGGCTTCCTCTGATTGGTGCAGGCGCCTCCCATGTGACCTTGACCAGCGCATTGCCATTCTGCTGTGGTCCCCAGGGCCTGTGGTTATGCAGATTCCTCCCGCTCTCTCAAAGATGTTGATGGCCCCAATAATATTATATTCTGGGAAAAAATGCACCCCGTCTGCTCAATCACACACACAAGGGCCGGGGGCCCCTGATTAGATGAGGGGCCGTGGGGGGGGGGCTGCTCGTCACATTAATGCCCTGGTGACCCCACCAGCGGTGTGTCCATGCCGGTATAACAGCAGGCACCTGGTATAGCCCATCTGCTCAGCCTGACATGAGTGAGCATGACGGTGATGTGCTGGAGTGACTCAGGGAGGAGGCGCACAGAGAAGGAGCACAGAGGAGGCCCACAGAGGAGGCCTCCTTAGGCTGAGTTCCTATCTCCTTCCGTCACAGATGGTCCCCCCGGCCTTCTCCAAGCCCACCCGCCCCCCCGGACACACACCTACCGGCCGCTGTCTAGGAACACCTCTGATGGCCCTGGGGTCCTTGGCGACCCCCCAGACTCCAGCCTGTCGCCGTCGCCGCTCCCCCCCCCACCCCCGCCCATGCCATCCCTGGTCCAGCTGAGACCCCGAGAGAGGGAGCGGGATTTGCCCGACACGTAAGCGCTGGTGCCTCCTGCTGGACCACTCTAATGATCTAAAAATTACTGTCACGTAACTCAGTGTTTCCCAACCCGTTCCTCGGGGACCCCCAGCCAGTCCACGTTTTTGCTCCCTCCCAGTTTCCAGCCAATCAAGACTTGCGACCTGGGAGAGAACAAAAAAATGGACTGTGGGGATCCATGAGCACTGGGTTGGGAAGCACTGACTCAAATGACTCTGGTGGAGATGTTAGATATACAGCTAGGAGGGTTTATGTTCACATTTTATGTGTAAAATTGTCATAGTGCAATATAGAAAACTATATTGAGTAGTACATGCTGCAAATGAAAGTATGATGTGAATAGCCACTATTCACACAGGCGTGCATTAATGCTGCAGTAGGCATCATGCAGTAGGCATCATGTAGCCAGGCTTCACTGACCCCATCTACCTGTGTCTGGGTTTGGTTTCCTGGCCAGAACTTCTGTGAGGTTTTATTTGTACCCACTGGTAATTTTCGTCACTTTTTCTCCAAAACCAGGAATGAATGGGGACCCCCGGACCGAAAAGTGGACACCCGGAAGTATCGGGCGGAGCCCAGGAGCATCTTTGAGTACGAGCCTGGGAGGTCTTCCATCCTGGAGCAGGAGAGGCCGGTGAGCACACTGCTCTGCCATATCCATTGCCTAGGGGGCGCTGTGTCGCATTTTCAGTCTCCCGGACTCCCAAATAAACCCTCTCACAGAAGTATGCCCCACCCGTTCCTTTGTCAAGCCATACCTCCTCAACTAAACCCATTTAACTAGCTAAATAAGGGGTGGAGTTTATTTGACTGCCTCTCGGGTATATTTAAGGTCCTGCATGTAATCTTCCCGTAATCTGGAACATTCCGGAAATGTCACGTGAGCCGCAGAGCAGATGCAGTGAGCACATCATGGGGATCAGGGTCGCTATGGCCTGAAAAGATTAGCGAGCCCCAGTCTGATGACGGGAAGCTCTCTGTCCTCCAAGCTGTGCTCACGCCATGCATCCCGGTTAGCCTTTAGCCGTAACCGCCGTCATGCATCCCGGTTAGCCTTTAGCCGTAACCGCCGCCATGCATCCCGGTTAGCCTTTAGCCGTAACCGCCGTCATGCATCCCGGTTAGCCTTTAGCCGTAACCGCCGTCATGCATCCCGGTTAGCCCTTAGCCGTAACCGCCGCCATGCATCCCGGTTAGCCCTTAGCCGTAACCACAGTCATGCATCCCGGTTAGCCTTTAGCCGTAACCGCCACCATGCATCCCGGTTAGCCTTTAGCCGTAACCACCGCCATGCATCTCGGTTAGCCCTTAGCCGTAACCACAGCCATGAATCCCGGTTAGCCCTTAGCCGTAACCACAGCCATGCATCCCGGTTAGCCCTTAGCCGTAACCACAGCCATGCATCCCAGTTAGCCCTTAGCCGTAACCACCGGCATGCATCTCTGTTAGCCCTTAGCCGTAACCACCGCCATGCATCCCGGTTAGCCCTTAGCCGTAACCGCCGCCATGCATCTCGGTTAGCCCTTAGCCGTAACCACAGCCATGCATCCCAGTTAGCCCTTAGCCGTAACCACCGGCATGCATCTCTGTTAGCCCTTAGCCGTAACCGCCGGCATGCATCTCTGTTAGCCCTTAGCCGTAACCACCGGCATGCATCTCTGTTAGCCCTTAGCCGTAACCGCCGCCATGCATCCCGGTTAGCCCTTAGCCGTGACCGCCGCCATGCATCCCGGTTAGCCCTTAGCCGTAACCACAGCCATGCATCCCGGTTAGCCCTTAGCCGTAACCGCCGCCATGCATCTGGGTTAGCCCTTAGCCATAACTGCTGCCATCCCAGTTAGCCCTTAGCCGTAACCGCCGCCATGTGTCCCAGTTAGCCTTTAGTTGTAAATGCAATTAGGAGCTACACTGCTTTCTCACGGCCAGTTTGGTTTATAGTTGCATGTCCAGAATGGAGCAAAAGGCCGCCACAGCCTCCGTGTGATTTTTCTATCCTGCTTCTTGACATAAATCAAATAAGGGGCTCAGTTGGCTGAGAGTGGCCGAAGCAGTCGCCAGCACACTCACAGGCACCGAAAATTATTATTTGAGCTACAGAGGCCCAATTCTGGGGGGATCAGTGCAGTTTTCGCGTGAAGTAGCCTCTGGGTTCAGCAGCATCTGTTGACCAGTACAGTCATACAGAATAGAGTATTATCCTAGTTATTCACATTAGTCTGGTAGCTTATGTTAAGCCGGCAGCTTGTGTTACTTTAGTAGCTTATATTGGTGTGGCAGCTTACGTTAGGCCAGTGGTTTACATTAACCTGGCCACTTATGTTAGCCTGGTAGCTTTCTTTAACATGGTAGCCTCACTTTAGCCTGATAGCGTATGTTAGCCTGGTGGCTTACATGAGAATGGTAGCTCACTTTAGCCTGATAGCGTATGTTAACCTGGTGGCTTACATTAGCATGACAGCTCATTTTAGCCTAACAGCATATGTTAGCCTGGTGGCTTACATGAGAATGGTAGCTCACTTTAGCCTGATAGCGTATGTTAACCTGGTGGCTTACATTAGCATGGTAACTCACTTTAGACTGACAGCATATGTTAGCTTGGTAGCTGATGCTGGCTTGTTCGAGGTGCCATTAAGCTGAGAGCTTTAGTACTGCAGTTTTTTCTCAGTTTATATATAAAAGTGGTGTGTTAAGAATATTGTTCAGAGGTTACAGAGACACCAGACTGAACACCAACTAAAGTACAGATATGGCAACAGCAGGGACTCTGTCACTGACTGTACAGTTATCACCTCGTGTTTCTGGGGTGTCGTCGTTCTCCTGCCACGGTGAGTAATTTCACATAGTTTTTCTGAAGATGAGTCAACGTAAATGAGTCATAGTCACGGAGTCCCAGCGAGGAGTCCGTGTCTGTGCAGGGGAGCAAAGGTGCAGTTCACCCCGGTGTGCAACTCGGGAGCGCTCTCATCTGTGAGACAGGGAAGCACCAGCAGGCTCCCAATCTCTGGATGATTAGCAATCAGCTGGAAAAGAGCCTGATCGCCGTGCCAGGAATCTGCCTTGGGGGGGGGGCAGCGCAGGCGGGAGTGTGTGGGCTGTGCATTTCTGCAGACGGCGCAGGAATGACAGTGCAAGTGGAAGAGGGGAGGCGTGAGCCTGTGTGCTGTGCGTCTGCTGCCCCCTGCTGGCATATTGGCAGTACTGTCATTCGGGGGCTCGAGCGCAGAACCGAACAAGTGGGAGTTGTGCCTGGGGGGTCTGTCATCAAACCCATCCCATATCTCTGTGTGCTTTCTCTCTGTCTGCCCCCCAACCCACTCTCCCCCCCTTTTGCTTTCTGCTCCAGACTAGTGCCTTAAACCCCGATGACATAGATTTAGAGAACGAGCCCTGGTATAGGTTCTTTTCCGAGCTGGAGTTCGGGCGGCCGGTAAGTGTGTGTGCTCTGCGTGGCTCTAACCCCCCCCTCACTGAGGACTGCGGTCCCCCACGGCCCCCTCAGCCGCCTGCCTGGCACCAAGGGGCATGTCCCCTGGCATTGGGCGTGCCTCTGTGCGTTTCCTTGGAAACGTTGATCACCACCACCCTCATTTCAAAACACATTTTCACAGAACTTTCTTTAATTATAAGTTGGCTTTTAAGAGAATTTACACAAAGCAGTTCCTTAATAAGATTTGAAAATATCCTTTCTGTCTTGTAATAAGAAAGTTCCCTTAACTTTGAGGTTCTCCCATTTATCTTTGTTTTTTCCTGTTATTATATTTTCTGAGTATTTGGTGCTGGAAAAAATGTGCACAGGAAAAATGGGAATCAAAGTCTTTCTTATCATAAGACATCCGTTAATGTCCCGAAGAAGCAGGGGACATGTGATTTGTGGAGGCTGTTCTGATTGGCTGACTGGAACACGCAGACGTGCATGTGGGCCACCTCGGCTGTCCTGATTGGTGGTCTCTGCCTCGCATGGAAATGTGCAGACACTTATGACCCTGCATTTAGAACATTAGATACTGTTTAATTACCTGAATGAGTACACTGTCAAGTATCTTACCACAGAGTACACCTACTCCCCTTGTTTCTAGAACCTGGAGCCAGGAGGTTCCGGGTCTCTCACAGTTTGGTCATGGATCTCTATTTGGCTTCCCCTCCGTCTCTGCTGCCATGTTTTACTGAGCTTTATGTCTGCTGCTACTTGGTCGCATGACTAGCTTGCTCAGTAACTGTATTTCAGAGAGGAACTAACTGCTGAGAGCCTTACAGACGCACACAGAGACGCACCCACACACACACACACACGGGCACACAGACAGGCTACTAAAACTGACCCCCGCAGCCTGGCAGTTTGGCATGAGGGCAGTGTGTTACCCACCTGCAGATGGCGCACATGTGACAGGCGTTGTGTGTGCTCACTGACTTTCCTGACAGACAGCCCTGAATGGTGCCATAATCATAAATCCAGACCATTCAGCACGTAGTGTTTGCTAATCAAGGTGTGATGCCAATTCCCCGCCCCCCTCCCCCGTTTCCCCCCTTCACCGTTTACCCTCTCTGCCAGTCTGCATGGCGTTTGCGTGCATAAGTGTGTGCGTGCATAAGTGTGTGCGTGCATAAGTGTGCGTGTGCATAAGTGTGTGTGTGCTGCCTGGTCTGCTTCAGTTCTCTAATGATGTCACTCTCTCCACATGTTCTTTCCCATGATGCCTCTGACTGTCCTCCATCTCATCTACACCTCCTCTTCCTCCTCCTCCTACCGCTGCCTCTGACACTCAAGCCTCCCAAAAAGCGGCTGGATTATAATCCAGACAGCGCCCCCGCTGGGCTCTTCGAGGTAACCCCCCAGTCCGATATGGCGCTAGGTCATGCCTAGCTCTGCCCTCCCCCCTGCCTTGGCCGTGTCCGCCGGTCTGCCCCTGTGCATCCTCGCGTGACGTGACAGCCGGTGTCAGGCTTCATGGGTGTTGCCTGCAGTGTGGCTGCTGCCTTGTGCGTGACAGACGTGTGCATGTGACAGACGTGTGCATGTGACAGACATGTGCATGTGACAGACGTGCACCATGGTGTGAAGCTGATTCACTTATATGACATATCATTCATATAATTCATCCACACATTTGAATCATAACTATATAATTATAACAACTTTGGTATTTTTTCCATTTTGGCATCTCTATGATGGGTAAATTACCCTAGTAACCAAGTACAGGCAGAAAGCCATTCTGTTTACAAAACATAGAGACGATTCAGCTGAACCAGCTAAACAGAATTCTGTGCAATCAGTGATGCCATCACTTACCTCACATTGGTAGCTTTGTCTGCTGTGCTGTGATTGGTTAACCTGGCACGGTGTCCAATCAGAATGGGCAGGCAGAGGTTTCTTGCTGGTAAACAGCCATGTGTCATTGCTAGTGAGAGGGGGAGGGGATTTGTTACAGACAGGAGGCTGGTCCCTCAGAGCTCCTTACATCTGCTCCCCTGCATTGTATCGACAAGGCTGCCCCCTCCCTATTGCAAGAATTTTTTTTGTCTGCGTTGGTTGTGCTGATTGGAAGTGTCGAGCGTGGAAACGACCGTGCAGGGAGAAGGGGACGCTTTCCCGGAGGCATCGGCACCGAGCTGCAGAATCAGCGAGTGCATTGGAGTCACGGCACCCGCAGATTTCTGGGGAGGGACCCGGTGTTGCTATGGAAACACAGGCAGGTCACCAGGAGGAAAAAGCGGGGCATTGCCACCTCTGCAGTTTCTCAGGGGGCCGTCGCTTGTGACGGGTCTGACAGTGTGGCCGGGGCGAAGTCTCTGGGCCAATGCAAAGCCGGAGGGGGTGGGGCTAGGGAGGGTTGTCCATGAATGGATGCTGACAGCTCGACCAATCAGAGCAGGGCAGGGGCGGGACAGGCGTGCCAGCTGGGCATTGTGCGTCTCACAGCTTTTGTTACCGTGAGATCAGGCTTCTCTTTGTTCTTCACTCTTTTTCAGACATCTTTGCAGCTCACTCCAGCAGACAGGGAGACAGACAGGCCATTGAGGTGAGATCTTCCACCCTGTTACACACAGACAGACACAAATAATCACATACAGATAATCAGAGACAGACACTGACAGGCCTTTGAGGTGAGATCTGCCACCCTGTTACACACAGACACAGATAATCACAGACACTGATAATCACAGACAGGCCATTGAGGTGAGATCTGCCATCCTGTTACACACAGATAATGACAAACAGATAATCGCAGACACTGATAATAACAGACCGACACTGAACACCACAGACAAATAATCACAGACACAGGCCTTTAAGGTGAGATCTGCCACCCTGTTATACACAGACACAGATGATCACAGACAGATGATCACAGACAGACACTGATAATCACAGACAGATAATCACAGATAGACACTGATAATCACAAATAGACGTAGACAGGCCATTTAGGTGAGATCTGCCACAGAGATACAGACACACACAGTCCCATCCAGGGTCTTGACCGTCACTGACATATCTCAATTTTGCCCCCCCCCCCAGCTCAGCCAGCGATTACAGAAAACGGCGAAAGTCTGAGCCGGCGTTCAGCCAACCCGGACAGCAGGGGGATAGTAATGCACCCCAGCCATCTCCCGGCCCCGGGGAACCCCCCAAGGCTAGCAGCGGCACCCTGAGGAGACCGCTGGCTCGCTCATCGCCCTCATCACCGTGCAGGGTCAAAGGTATGAGGAAGTTCCTGCAGGGTGCTCAAATGGGCACACTCACATGCACGCACAAGTCCCGCCCCCTGTCTTCCTGCCTGTCCCCTCTCTCTGACCCCTCCCATCCCCCAGGAAGTCCCGCCCCCTGTCTTCCTGCCTGTCCCCTCTCTCTGACCCCTCCCATCCCCCAGGAAGTCCCGCCCCCTGTCTTCCTGCC